GCACATTGTTGGCCATCGCAGCAGGTACCCACCACCCCGCCGGGTACCCGCAGAAGTCCTGAGGCTGCGGAACCTTTACTACCGTTACTACTAGTCTTGCGGAGTGTGTCGATTGGTCTGGAAGGGCAAATGCTGCAGAAGCACCATTGAGGTCATCCTGATGGCCCTGGTTTGCTGGGACAGTGGGAGTCTGAGGCACTTACCTGACTGAGTTTGGCGCGAGTTTGATGCGGGTGACTTGGTGCCTTTGTGCTTGCTCCTTCTCAAAGTCAGCAATTCTTACATGGATCGAGGCAGGATGGGTGAGGCAGATACCATATTCGGAGATTACGTACCGTAGTTCTTGTAATTAATAGATTTCTGGAACCATGCAGGAAATAAATAATTAGTTCTTCCGCAAAGCAGGGACATGTCATGTACACTCCTCCGCATCGGATTCGGCGAAATCCTAGCCGGAGCCGCTCACGGAAGAAAGTTCAGCGACACCCGCCTCCTCCTGAGCCTGAGCCTGACCACGCCTCTGGTTGGGACGGACTTCGGCTGCCGGGTGATGATGCTCCTCCTCCTGAGCACGGATTGATGCAGGCACCTTCGGATGCTCGGCCACCACTTCCTGATGCTGAGCCTGAGCACGTCTCCAGTGGGGACACATTTCGGCAGGCAGATGATGCTCGGCCAGCACTTCCTGCTCCTGAGCCTGAGCACCGATTGATGGAGGCACTTGAGGATGCTGGGACACCACTTCCTGATGCTGAGCCTGAGCACGGCTCTGGTGGGGACACATTTCGGCAGGCAGATGATGCTCGGCCAGCACTTCCTGCTCCTAAGCCTGAGCATGGATTGATGCATGCGCTTGAGGACGCTCGGCCACCTCTTCCTGGTCGTGAGCATCAGCACAGCCCTGCTGAGGAGAGATTTCTGCTGCCACTTCAAGCCGGCCGGCCTGCAATCGACCTGTTGGAGGCTGAAGAAGCAGTTGTGCAGGACGAGTCTGTCGGCCGACTGAAGGCACGCAAAAAAAACAACGAAGACGGACGGCAAACCAGGCAGGCGAAGCGTGTGGGCAGCCAGCAGCAGGAGGTGCGGCCAAGACTGAAGATGGAGCAGTGGGAGCGCATGTGCTACAGGGACAAGCATTATGAGTCTCTCGAAGAGGAGCTCACTCGGCTTCGGGGTCTTTTGCCGAGAGTTGAGAAGCTGCAGGTGGCGAACGCCGCCCTGACACATGCGTTGGAAATCCTGGAAGGCAGACTGAGGCAAGCAGAGACGGGATGCTGATTGCCTGAAGCAGCTGCTGCAGAAAAGTGTCCGTTTGCGTTCAAGGCATGCACTTGTTTTGACATTCGCGTGATTTTGCGTGCCCTAGACAAGTTTGCAGTGCCGAGGCCTGGGATCAATTCAACGTTGCACGGCCGATGAATCGTCTGACGCGTGGGGCTTGGTTGGCTTCCCGTGTGAATCCGAGAGCCAGCACTGGAGGCACAGGCATCAGGTTCGGATGCATTGCTTGACAGAGATGTGACTGTGATGTAGGGCCCGAGAGTTTGTGAGTGCTGCATTCTTACCAGTCCAGCAAACGATGTGAGCAGCCTAAATTCATATTATCGGTCCCCACATTATAATAAGGCAGACACAGCCCCGACGCAATGGAATGGGGGTGCTCTTATCGAGAAGAGCAGGAAGAGCAGCCGATGGCAAAGGCACGGAAGAGGCAGCCGAAGAAGATCACTCCAGTGACTGCAGCGCCGGTGGATTTCAAGTTGCCTGCGAACATCAAGACGTGGGGTCGGTTGCCTCTTCCAGTGCTTGCTAGTATCCTGAACCACTGCGAGCCTGAGAAGTTCACTGAGGAGAACCTTGGACAGCTGAACGGCAGGCGTCAGTTGGCGAATTCTGAAGCTGCTCCACTTGTGGAGCTTGCCGCATGTCTGAATTGCAGCGGTTTTGGTTTAACTTCTGTTTGTGCAGACAGCCCGTAACGGCAGCATTGATGCAGTTTTGGCGTGGCCGTGCAGGTGGAGTTTCTCACGAACATCTCCCCTGACACCCCTATACCTGCAGCACAGACCGTGGCGGCTCTGGCCTCGACGGCAGCAGACCTGAACGAGCAGCTGTTCCGAAGAGGCGCAGCGTTTCACATCACTTCTCCGCTCGATTGGCAGAGGAGGGGCGTCTACGAATTTCAGAAACTTGACTCTGATGTGGTTGTGACACACAAATTTGCTGAGAAAAGTGTACGCCTGAGGAATATAATCGTGCCTGACCATGATGACTGTTTCATAGAGAACAACTTCTCTGAACATAGAGCAGTATTACATGTCTTAGGACGACCCTTTAGGCAACCACTGTCTCTGCTCTTTTTTGCTGGGGCTGTCAGAACCACATCAGAGACACCTGATCGTAAGCCTGTCGCAGGGCTACTCCACACACCGCCTGAAGGACATGACACAGGCACCACGCCTGAAAAGCAGGCAGGCGGAGGCAGTGAGGCTGCAACACCGTCGAGTGCCCAGCGGAGCTGGACACCTAAGATTCCTGAGTCTTGGCAACCTGCCAAGCATGCAGACTGACAGCCGACACGAGTCTCTGCAACGTGCGTTGCTGAAACGTAGAGCGAAGCGTTTGCTGCCACAGA